CTCTTTCTCTGCTGTACATTTCACAGGAAGAGGCACAGGAGGCTGTTGTACACTTCAAAGGTTGAGGCGCAGTGGGATAGCGAGTGCCCCCCCTTATTGACTAATTGGTACTCGATTAGTTGATAAATTGAAATTTAATATCCCTATTGCACACTTATTTCCTTGGGATAGTGGGTCTTAAAGTTCCAATTGTTGGGCTACTTTCACTTCTGGGGAAAAAGTAAGCCGGTGCAGTGCTCTGGCAAGAAACTGGCTGGCTGGTGCACTTAGGGGGAGGGAGTGGGGTTCTCCCATCCTGGCACTTTGGACTTCCTGCAGGATGCTGTGCTAGAAGCAGGCAGCCTGGCAGGTTAGAGGGGCTGTGGGGGGCGGGGGGGTGAGTGTGTGTGTGTGTGAGACAGACACAGCTCTAGCCTGGAGCTCCCTGCTCCCTCACTGCCAATTCATGGGTGGGGGGGCAGGTCTGCAGCCTCACTTACCTGGATCCCTGAGTTTGTTTTTTTTCCTTTTTGTTGACTAGGGAGTGAGGGTTCAGCTCACAGGCTGACCTTTGCCTTGCTCCCTAGTCAGCAAAAGAGGGGGGTAGGAGAACTTTCAGCCACTAGGGTAAGTGAGGCTGCAGCCCTCTTGACCCCCAACTCACCTAGCCCTCTGCCCTGAGCCTTGTTCTTACACACCCCAGCCCTGACTCCTGAACCCCCTCCTTATACCCTGTGCCCTGGCCCCTCGTACACCCTAATCTTGACTGCTGCACCCCCACACGCCGCAATCCTCTGCCCTAAGCCTCTCCCCACTGCACTCTCCCCCCCCCACTTAAATTTCTTACAGTACTGTTGTATGACCAACCTCCTCTGCCCTTAGCCCTCTCCCGAAAGCGGGGTGTGAGTTGTCATAGGACAGTGCCTGTTTAACTTTAATTTCTCTCAAACTGCCACTGGAAAAAGCAGGGTTAAGTGTCCACTGTTTACTGTGGTTGGGGAGGGGAAGCAGTACATTTAACCCTTTTAGGAAATAGAGTAAAGAGAACTCAGGAGACAGCAAAGATGAAGTTAGGAAAGGCCACAACTGTAACAAGTGTACTGGGAAAAGATCCCTGTTGAACAGGGAAGCTGCTGCTACTTACCCAACAGCGAGCATTTTCAGTACCCATTTTGGAGCTGCTTTTTGGAAAGCCAAAGTCCTTCCCCACTGGTAATGATAGAGCTATCGGAACACAGCACAGGGCCAAAGCTAGAGGGGAAGGGAAGCCATGCCTGTCTCAAAAGTAGTTCATTGTTTCTGTTTATTGGAGAAAAAACTCCCCTGCGGGGGGCAAACTGGTCCCAGGAAATGAACCTAGAGAGGGGAAAACATTCCTGGCTTCTACCTCAAGGAACCACTTGTCTGTGGAGATATGATTGCACTGCTCCGGGAAGCTTTTTAATGCTATTTAAATGCATAGCACACAGGGAGCATTGGCGTCATCAGCTATCAATTCACTTTGCAATGCAGGTCATCTTTCACATTTCCTCCCTCCTTTAGCCACCACTTGTGAGCTGAGCCTTTTGTTAGAAGGGAAGGGCTTTCATAGATGGGCTCAAGCTGGACTAGAGTGGCCAGTTTAAAGCACTGGGAAGTCTTTATAGCATCATGTCCCATTTATGTTGAGAAATGACTCCATAGCAGGTTGGCCGGGTCATGTGCCTTTCTCACTTCCATTCTTGCTCTCAAGGAAGGGTTTGTTTTGATCTAATTTTTGGAATTATAAAAGATCAGTCCCGCTGGTATTTTACTCCTGGGAGACTTGCTCTTTCATCTGCACTCCCGGGTGAAAGAGTATAGGAATGGGGTGGGGAGATGGATGGGGAGTGATGTGTGAACTTGTATTTACAATGCTGTCCTCTGTTCTGACACAGGTGTTTGCTGGCTCTGGGGCTTTTTTCTCTCCCTCCTAGCCAGGTTCTCCTGTGAAAAACTCCCTACTGACTGCAACTAGTGACTCTTCTGACTTGGGTAGAAGAAGCAAAGAGGTTTAGTTGGAATTAGAAGTGGCAGCTTTAACACAAGCCAGGGAATTCTGCAGTAACCTTTGGTGCCAGTTTTTCTTTTCTTTTTTTTAAACGGTTTTCTGTATGTGGGTTTTTTGTTTTGCCTGAATTGTAAAAGGTGTGGCCTTCCCTTGGCCTGGAAGTGGGGTAAGGAGCCTTCTGAGACCAGATTGAAAGAGTAATTCAAGTTTCAACCAAGCCCTAAACATCAGGATTTTTTGAAATAGCTGGAATCTGGCTCGTAACACATCTGGCTTTGCAAAAGCTATTTCTGCCTTATCCTGTACTTTCCCAGGCTGGCAGAATTAGGGCTGCCAAGGAGGAATTGTACTTTAGATTTACAGCTCCCATCGCTCCCTGGAGTTGTGCTGGGCTCAGCAAATCTACAAAATGGCACAGAAGTCCTGCTGGTTGGTAATAGGAAGTCATGAGTGGAGGAAACATTCCTCCTGTCTGAAGTGCTTAGGGCTATTTTGTACCATGAGCATCACAGAGACAAACTACTTGTTTGATTCCTGCTCTAAAAGAGAATTTAATAACTGAGTTAAGGTGGTTGCAAAAGACGTTTCATCAGGGAAATTGGTGATCTAGAGACTGTGGCCTGTACCTGGTACCTCTGTGGCTGGAACTGCCCTTTCTCAGGTCACATGCTACTGACATTTGCTGACCAAGTAGCCTCCTTGCTCAATTGACATTCCTCTGCTGCAGATTAATTGTATAGGGCCAGACCACAGCACTGACTCCGCTTAGCTCAGTGGTCTCCAACCTTTTTAAGCACAAGATCACTTTTTTAATTTAAGTGCAATCCCAGATCTACCTCACATATAAAATACCCTTCCTCCTGTCCCTTCTCCAAGGCCATGCCTCTGCTCACTCCATCCTCCCTCTCATCCATTCTCACTCACTTTCATCAGGCTAGGGCAGAGGGTTGGGGTGCAGGGTTTGGTCTTGGATTAAGGGATCTGTATGTGAGAGGGGCTCTGAGCTGCTCTTAGGGCAGGCAGTTGGGGTACAGGAGGGGGTTCTAGGTGCAGGCTCTGGGGTGGCATTTGGATGCAGAAGTGCTCGGGGCTAGGACAGGCGCTTGGGATGCAGAAGGGGTTCATGACTGGAGTAGGAGTTCAGGATGTGTGCTCCAACTGGGCCCTGCTTACCTCAGGTGGCTCTGGGTTGGTGGTGCACTGAGGCTAAGGCAGGTTTACTCGTGCCCTGTCCCATTCCCTAAAGCAGGGGTGGCCAACCCATTTAACAAAGAGAGCCAAAACAGCGGCGGAAAAATGCGAAGAGCTGCACCAGAGTTGTCAAACAAAAAAAAAAAAAAAAAGAGGCTGCCCCTTTAAGAAACAAGCTTAGGCTTTTTGGCCATATCAGGCTCCAGTCAATGGCCGCCATCTTGGGTGCCATTTTGAGCACAGGGGAGCTGGGGGTAGGCAGGGGGATGCAGAAGCAGCTTCACGAGCTGCACTTTTGGGGGAGAACAGCCACAGGTTGGCCACGCCTGCCTTAAAGCAACCACGAACTCCATCCCAAGACCAGTTGTGCTCCCTCTCTGCTTTGTAGAGAGAGGATACAGAGAGGGAGGGGCCACCTTGATGTCCGCACCCTTTCTCTCCCTCCCCTCCCCTGCTCTGCCCAGAAAGCAGGAGGCTCCCCAAGGGGAGAGGCAGCTCCAAGGCAAAGGGCAGGAGATGAGCAGCAGTGGGGGGGAAGGGCAGCTGAAGAGTTAGCACTGGTTAGCCTCTTGGCCAAACCAGTCAGGATCACCTGTCAGAGCCTCCGAGATCTACCAATACATCCCGATCGACTGGATGGTGACCACTGACTTAGCTGAAGACATAACAAAGAGCAAGGACCTGATCTTGCTGTCATTGGAAGTCAAGATTAGCTATGAACCTCAAAAGAAACACATAAGCCCCCATCATGCTTGGCCACCTGGGCTCCATCTCTGTTTCCTTCTGTCTGTATTTTTCTGCAGAAAATATTGATCCGGTGCAGTTACTGTTTGCCATCTTGGGGGTGCCTGCACTGGCATTTTGCAAGTACAACTTCATGCTGTTAAGTGACATCTTTGTGAAGCCCTAAATGCCATGGGACTGGTAAATGTTTGGTTTGTTTACTTGGTTAGTTTTGCCCTACCTAATGCTTTTCCCAATTAAAACAGTTTTTTAAATGGTTAAAGTCAGGTATGTCTGATTCTGAAAGGAGAGGGGCAAAAATAGTACTGTGAATTACACCTCATACGTTCATCAAACTTCACCAGTAGACCTCAAAAGCTCTTTACCAAGGAGGTTGGTGGTCTTATCCCTATATTCCAGATGAGTAAATTCAACTATAGTGACTCATCCAAGGTCACCCCTGAGGCAAAACTGAAAATCAACACAGGCCACTGTTTAGCCATGGGACCAGAAAGCTGATCTCCACAGCCTTGGAGAGAAGCTACGTTGCTCAGTAATGGTAGCTGTGGCTTGAGATTATTATAGCGGTTATACTTTGTGGCCTAGTTCTTCCACAAAAATCTTCGCGCCTTACTAGCAAGCAGTGCACAAGGCATGAGGCTTATCAGTCTGTCTGTGACTTCCTTGATATGGAACAAAGTTCTTAAATATCCTCCTTGCCCGCCAATTGATTTGAAAGTCCTCAGCAGGTCCTCCCAGTGCTAAATTCTTCTCACTTGTGTTGATGAATGATATCCCAGCCAGTCTGGTCACTGGCCTTTTGCTCAATAGATTAGTTTAGCAGGTTAACCTATCTGGGAAATATGTTCTAGTGGCTAGAGCGCTGGACAAGGAATCAGGAAACGTGGTTTGTATTGCTGTCTGGCTATGTGACATTGGGCAAGTCACTTTGACTTAGATCCTCCAATTTGCTTTTGATGAGAGTGAGTCACCTAAAATACCATTGAGGTTCTGTACCTCAGTTTCCCCATCAGTAAAATGGGTATGATATTGAGCTGTATTGCTGAAAAGCACTAGATTAGAGCTAGGTATTATTAAAATAGCTAGGTTCAGCAAGTATGGTTCACCGCCCCGTCTTGCCTTCAAGCTTGCCATCCTCCTTAGTGAAAGATCTTTTGTCAGCAAATCTAAGGTCTATATCCTCAACCCTGGCAGCAGGCCCTTTCTGCAAATGATGTGCAGGAAGCTCTCAGTGGGGGTGCTAAGTTTTATCAACCCAGATATCCTAGTTGTGCTCTGATTAGGAAATGTAGTGTTTTCTTGGTTGGCAACATTTTCATCGGTACAATGGGTCACCTATTTCTCCTGCCAGTGCTGTGGCAGGCAGCTAGCATACTTTGTACTGGACCTTGCTGTGGAATTCAGGGCTCGTTTACTACAACAGGCCAGTATGGTTACTGATGTGGAATGTTACTTTTGCAGAAAGCTGTAAGGGTTCTGAAAAGCTACACAAGTTAATCCTGCCTCTTTCACAACCTATTTACAGCATAGCCTCCTTTATCTACAGAGATTCCTGATGACTGTTTCTCTTAAGTATACTCCCCTCTTCAACACTGCTAAGGTAATGGCCCCAAAAGCCACACTTGGCAATACTCATACGTAGTGGTTTTTGGAGTATCATTGTGATTCATACAGAGTGATTCAAAATAAGATGATGTGGGGTAAGGGGAAGCTCCTTAATTCAAAGCATTGAAATTTGATATATCCCGAGTAGAGCTGATTTTGGGATTTTTTTCAGGATTTGTTTTTTTCTTGGACAATTTGGAAAATATCAAGAGGTGAAAACTTTTCAGCACATTTGTGTGTGGAGAAACATGGCCATTTTCCATCTACTGTCTCAAACAAAAAATTTCAACTCTGTCAGTTGTTGCTTTGTATTCCCAAAATTCCCAAAGATACGCACTGGGAGGAGTGTAAAATCTGATTGCTCCTCTCTGATATCTTTTGCCTGTCCCAGAGTGCTGCTAAGGTACGTGGACGCAATGGGGTGTGCCTGGATGTTACACAATGAACTGCATTGTGCTAATTATAATTCTGGTCATTGTGAAACTGTCCTAGGTAAAACTATATTTTACTGTAAGGAGAGACAGGCCATTTCCACCTTCTACCACGTTCTGGTAACTCACTTTGGCTCCTGTGGATCTTTACATTTTGGTCAATCAAAGAAAGGATCCATTTAGAGGGATGGGCACATCCCTACATTCTGGAAGTCTAAAATAAACAAACACTTGGCCACAAAGCAGAGGTAGCTCAGGCCCTGGGCAATTCCCTGTTCTGCCAGAGTTGTTACATGCCCTTGGGGAAAATCATGTAGGCCCATGTTGAAATCGATGGGAGTCAGATGCCTACCTAGCTTTGAAGATCTGTGCCTTACTCTCTCTGTGTCTGTTCCCCATTGTGTAATGGGGATAATAGCGCTGCCCTGCCTCATAGAGATGTTGCAAGGATAAATGCAGTAGTGACTAGGGGTGCTATGGCCATGCAGGGCAACCTTCCCCCATCCTGCTTTACTGCTCCTCAAGTCTGATTTGGAGGGTGGTTCTTTCAGGTGTACTTGGTCTCTACAGCAGTTTCAGTCCTAGGTATTGTGGCTGAGACTTGCCAAAAGGGGCTGGATGGAGATTTGGTGATATGGAGGCCCTGATCCTGCAGAACACTCTGTGCAAATGAACCCCTGCACCTGACCTAAAGTCTGTAGAGCTCCATTAGGAATGTCAATGTTTAACTGGGAAGCATCACCTGATGTGGGTGGGAGGCTGTTCCAGTCCAGCTAAGCCAGCCTCTTACCCACAGTGGGCCCCCAGCGCAGTCAGAGCAGCTTTTTGTAGGCAGGGGGTGCTCCATCCAGGCCAGAGCAGCCCTTGCCCACCCCACTTAAGCAGTTAACCCGTTAACTGATTAAATGGGTTTTACAACCCTAGGCTCCATGCTAGTGCTGGGGTCTGCTCATGCAGGCCACAGTATAGGACTAATGGCTACAGCTCACAACTCACTTCATAGTCTAGCTCCTATTCCCAGGTGATCAAGTGGACCATCCTCCAAATCAGACTTGCGGAGCAGTGAGGCAGGATGGGGGAAGGTTTCCCTGCATGGCCACTTGCGTCCCTGCAAAGTAGGCAAGTAAAATTATCACCAAAGGAGCCAGTAGCCTACACTGAATAGAAGATTTTGTTAGCAAATGTGTGTTGGGAAGTTACCATCACTGAAGATTTGTGGCCATGATGGGAAGAAGTATTAAAACCTGCTCTCAATTATCCTAAAGTTGTTCTGATGGAGGCTGTTGGGATTCCTGGCTGCCAGG